TTTGATACATTTTGATTAGTTTTCATACCTGGTGTGAGGTATGGGTCTTATTTCATTATTTTACAGATGGGTATCCAGTTATCCAGCAACATTTGTTAAAAAGACTGTCTTTTCCCCATTTAACAGAATTTGGGCCTTTATCAAATAACAGGTGCTCATAGGTGGATGAATTTAGGTATGGATTCTCAATTCTGTTCCATTGGTCTACGTATCTGTTGTTGTACAAGTACCAGGCTGTTTTGACTACTGTGGCAGTATAATAGGTTCTAAAATCAGGTAGTGTGAGGCCTCCCACTTTGTTCTTCTTCAGTAATGCTTTACTTATCTGGGGCCCCTTCCCTTTTCATATGAAGTTGGTGATTTGCTTCTCCATCTCATTAAAAAATGTCATTGGAATTTGGATTGGGATTGCATTGTATCTGTAGCTCACTGTCTTAGTCATCTAGTGCTGCTATAACAGAAATACTGCGAGTGGATGGTTTTAACAAAGAGAAATTTATTCTCTCACAGTCCAGTAGACTACAAGTCCAAATTCAGGGTATCAGCTCCAGGAGAAGGCTTTCTGTCTCTATCGGCTCTGGATGCATCAGTCTTCCTTCGGTCTGGGAGCATCTCAGCGCAGGAACCTCAGGTCCAAAGGACACACTCTGCTCCCGGCACTGCTTTCTTGGTGGTATGAGGTTCCCATGTGTCTCTGCTTGCTTCTCTCTTTTATATCTCCAAAGAGATTGCATCAAGACACTATCTAATCTTGTAAACCTCATCAGTATAACCTCATCACAGTAATAGAATTTACAACACATAAGGAGATCACATATAATGTCATCATAGTGATAGAGTTTACAACACGTAAGGAAATCACATCAGATTACATAATCATACAACACGGGGAATCATGACACAGCCAAGCTGACAGATATTTTGGGGGGACACAATTTAATCCATGACAATTGCTTTGGGTAGAATTGACAGTTTCATAATGTTAAGTCTTCCTATCCATGAGCAAGGTATGTTTGTTTTTTTTCAGTTATACAGATCTCTTTGTTTCTTGCAGTAGTGTCTTGTAGTTTTCATTGGATAGGTCTTTTATATTTCTGGTTAGATTTACTCCTAAGTATTTTACCTTCTTGGGGGCTATTGTAAATTGTATTGATTTGGTGATTTCCTTTTGAAGTTCTCTTTGTTGGTGTAGAGGAATCCAACTGATTTTTGTATATTTATCTTGTATCCTGATACTTTGCTGAAATCTTCTATTACTTCCAGTAGTTTCCTTGTGGATTCTTTGGGGTTTTCTGTGTATAAGATCATATTATCTGCAAATAGAGATACTTTTACTTCCTCCTTACCAATTTGGATGCTCTTTCTTCTTCTTGTCTTATTGCTCTGGTTAGGACCTCCAGCACAATGTTGAATAAGAGTGGTGAAAGGGCATCCTAGTCTAGTTCCCATTCTCAAGGGGAATGCGTTCAGATGCTCTCCATTTAGGATGATGTTGGTTGTTGGCATTGTATAAATAAATGCCCTTTATTATGTTGAGGAATTCCCCTCCCATTCCTATTTTGCTGAGAGTTTTTATCATGAATGGGTGTTGGATTTTGTCAATTGTCTTTTCTGCATCAATTGATAAGATCGTGCGGTTCTTATCCTTTGTTTTATTTATGTGATCGATTACATTGCTTTTCTAATGTTGAACCATCCCTGCATACCTGGTATGAATCCCACTTGGTCATGGTGAATGATTTGTTTGACATGCTGTTGAATTCTATTGGCTAGAATTTTGTGGAGGATTTTTGCGTCTATGTTCATGAGGGATATTGGCCTGTAATTTTCTTTTTTTGTGGTGTCTTTACCTGGTTTTGGTATCAGGATTATGCTGCCTTCATAGAATGAGTTCGAGTATATTCCATCCTTTTCTATGCTCTGAAATACCTTTAGTAGTAGTGGTATTAACTCTTCTCTGAAAGTTTGGTAGAATTCTCCAGTGAACCATCAGGGCCAGGGCTTTTTCTTGTTGTTGTTGGGAGTTTTTTTTTTTTAAATAACCTCTTCAATCTCTTGTTTTGTTATAGGTTTATTTAGTTGTCCTACCTCTGTTTGTGTTAGTTTAGGTAGGCAGTGTGTTTCTAGAAATTTGTCCATTTCCTCTAAGTTTTCAAATTTGTTGGAGTACAATTTTTCACAGTATTATGTTATGATTGTTTTAATTTCAGTTGGGTCTGTTGTGATATCGCCCATCTCTATTCTTATTTGGGTTATTTGCTTGCTTTCCTGTTTTTCTTTTGTCAGCTTGGCCAATATTTATCGATTTTGTTGATCTTTTCAAAGAACCAGCTTTTGGTCTTGTTAACTCTTTCAATTGTTTTTCTATTCTCTATTTCATTTAATTCTGCTCTAATTCTTATT